AATGATCTACGTAAACAATACAATTGAATTTGTGAATAAAAATAATAAAGAATAGCTTTTTTCCAGAAAATTTCCTTTTTTGGTTAGTCTGAATATAATTAGCGTGAGAAGTCTTGGCATTTTTAGTGTGGGAAGATAGGTTATATAAATAGCAACTATGTAAAAGCTTGGCATGGAAAAACATTTAACTTTAAACTATCAAAAAGCCGTTCCGACAATAATTAAATATATCTCTTCTAATGAAAGTTCAAATTCTTACTAAGTAATAATTTTTTAATTTTTTTTGCTATATCAAGAAAATTTAGTAGTATAATATAAAAGTATCAAAATATGTAAACAGTAAGTACAGAATTAATAAAAATTAATTTTCATATTTTTTTTACTAATTTTCTTATAAAAATCAAAATATTATTATATAAATCAATAAAAAAATATATGAACAAGTCAAGTTATTAATATTTATTATAATTTTAATGTATTTATATACTATATATATATATATAAAGATTATAAAAGAGTTGTGAGTATATATAACATTAAAGATTAAATATGATTAGAGTATGTAACTTATATTTGACAAGATGATCGGATATGACTTGGACATTGACAAGTGTGAATATATATAATGTAATAGATCCAATGGTATTGACTAATTTGAGAGATACATAAGATGTTATAAGCTAATATTAGTAATAAATCAAATGTTATTGGCTAATATTAATTATATATTATATTTTATTAACTTATATAAGTAGTAAATTGAATGTGATATATATATATTTATAATATAGATTAACTGTTATTGATTTACATATATATCAGATTGGCTGTGATCCACTTATATATATATCAGACTGGATATCATATGTTTATGTATAGTGCAGATCACCTGTTATCAGCTTATACGTATATACAATTGGTGGACAACAGCTTATATATATACCCAATTGGCAGTCAACAGCTTATATATATACCAGATTGACTATTATCAGTTTATATATATATCAGATTGGCTGTGATCCCCTTATATATTTATCAGATTGGATATCATATGTTTATATATAGTGCAGATCATCTGTCATCAGCTTATATATATACCCAATTAGCAGACACCAGCTTATATATATATCAGATTGGATATCATATGTTTATATATAGTGTATATCCTCTGTCATCAGCTTATATATATATCTAATTAGCAGACAACAGCTTATATATATATATTAGATTGGCTGTGATCCACTTATATATATATCAGATTGGATATCAAATGTTTATATATAGTGCAGATCACCTGTCATCAGCTTATATATATACCCAATTGGCGGTCAACAGCATATATATATACAAGATCGGTGGTCAGTGCTTATATATATACTAGATTGGTAGTCAATAGCTTATATATATATCATATTGACTGTGATGCACTTATATATATGTTAGTTTGGATATCATATTTTTATATATTGTGTATATCTTCTGTCATCAGCTTATATATATACCTAATTGGTAGACAACAGCTTATATTTATATCAAATTAGCTGTCATCAGCTTATATGTGTATGAGATAGGCTGTCAATAGTATGTATATATATACCTGATTGGTGGTCAACAATTTATATATATACCAGATCAGCTATCATTAGCTTATATATATATCAGATTGAGTATCATATGTTTACATATAGTGCGGATCACATGATATCATCTTATATATATATTAAATTGACTATCATAAGCTTATATATATGTTAGATTGATAGTCAACAACTTATATACCCAATCAGCATTCAACAGCTTATATATATACCTGATTAGTAGTTAATAACTTATATATATACCAGATTGACGGTCAACTACTTATATATATATCTGATTGGTAATCAACAACTTATATATATACCAGATCAGTAGTCAACAACTTATATATATACCAGAGCAGTAGTCAACAACTCATATATATATCTGATTGGTGATCAACAACTTATATATATAACCAATTGACAGTTAACAACTTATATATATATCAGATTGACTGTCATCAGATTATATATATATAAGATTGACTATAATTATATTATATATACAAGCTAATCAATCATAATTAATTTATATATATATAAGATTGTCTATAATTGATTTACATATAATGTAAATTGACTGTAGTCAGCTTATATAACATTGTATAATCTTAGATATTTGGATATAAACATATATAAAAAATATAAAAAAATAAAGTTTATATAACATATATTATTATGCATTTTTGCATAACTTAAACAATACAAATAGGCTGAACAGTAAAATAGACTAACACGCCCTTTTTAAAAAAATGTTTTTCTAAAATTCTGAAATTTTAATATGTTGTAGTTAGAGTTTTAAAAATGCAACAATTGTTTTTCTGAAGTTATACTGCTGTAGCCAATATAAAGATATTGCCTTTTTTGGAAATAACAATATTTCTAATTCATATATACAGTTTGTACACATAGCTTCAATATCTTTATGCAGATAAATTTGTATTGTTGTGTGTGGTATGTAGTTGTGTGTAGAAGATGTAAAATAAAAAATAATTGTATATAAGAAGATGAATTGAAAGAAGGAATTGAGAGTTTGGGTTTGATATCAGATAAATTGAGATAATAAAATAGTCTCTTTGTTGCAATATAGACCAGTTAAAGAAATAAAAAGGGAAACTAACACTAAGATAAGAGTGTAAATAATTTGAATGATTAGACAAATGGTTAAACTAAAAGAAGTGAAATAGATAATACTAATTCTAAAGAGTTAACTATGAGAAAGAAATGTTTAATAGAGTAAAGGATTTAGCTAAAGGGAAATTTACTATAGTAAATTTACTAAGAGATAAATAAAAGAAGCAATTGGGACAAAATAATAAATAAAAAGGAAATGATCAATCTTCTACGAAGACTAGACAAAAAATAAAATAAAATGGAAGAAATTTCACAAGATAGATCAGAAAGAATAGACAGCATCTGAAAGAAAACTTGTATCAGAAAAATTTGACTGTTGTTTATTGATTGATTTTAAAGAGACATTTATACTATTTTATGGATAAAATATATAGCAAAAATAGGTTAGATAAAACTTGATGAGATAATCGTAAAATAAAAATATAAAGAAAAATAACTATATAAATATTTTTTCATAAAAGAAGAAATAGCTGAAGTTAAAATATATAACTACAAGAAAAGAAAAATATCAGAAAAAAGTATGTTATAAATAAAGAGAAAAGCTATTCAGTTTACAATTTTGGTAAAGTAATGTTTGAGAGGAAGCGTCACATTTAGTGCACAGGAATAAGATAAAAAGAAAAGGAACAAAACAATTTTGGGAAAAATAAAGCGGAAAGATTTTAATTTTCAGAAAATTGGTTTTTGGAAAAAAATGATTTTGTGAAAATGGAAGAAAGAAATTAAAATTAAAATTAAAATTAAAATTTTTGAAAAAAAATTAAAAGAGGTTTTCAAAAAAAGTCTGAACTTGATAGAATTTGGTTTGTAGACTGAGGCCAACAAT